ACCTTCACTCGAAATGGAAGTAAGCTCAACAATTATGAAACAAGAGATTCCTTGTAACGCAACTTTTCTTCCGCTATCCATTTCCTACGCTCTAGTCTCGTCCTCGTCCCATCATGTTTATCTTCCACAAGAGATGTGCTCTTTTGGTCAATTTACCTTGAATTCATCACATCTACACTTTCCCTTCCTCCCCTCTATTTCGAGTAGCGGATCTGCTCTAATCATCTGCTTAATGGGCGCATGGGTCCATTTCTCATCTTTCCGGTTGACCGATTTCACTCGATCCCAGTCCCAGGGAATGTACCAAGTCCACCGTTCGACTCTGGGAGTGATCATGCATTCTATGGACTTCGGACAAGGTGCGTTCCTCTGTGACGTCCTACCAATAGGACCAAGTTGCGAAACCAGGGTCAAACAACTTCTAGTAATGAGTTTCCGTGTTGTAAGTCGGCTTCTAGTCTCCCAGTCGACATTAGTTAACAGCTGTACGCATCCTATTTCGTCTAAGCTGATAGAGTTGATTCTTCACACAACCAGATGACTAGGCCTCATTTTCTCATTGAATTTCAAAAAGCTTTGCTACCCGAAAGGTATTATCAGCCCGACTGGAATGGATAGGACTGGTTTACTTGGCACTCCCAGCGGGACTCGAACTCGAGCTGCTGTAGTACAGCCTAAAATCTCGCCAGAGCGCTACGAACGCCCTTGGGTCATGTGGCAGACGTTACTTTCGAGGAAGACTAGGAAGACTAGAAGTGGGTTGACCTCGTTGTCGCAACTTGGTCTTGTAGTCAGGGCGACTATGTAGAACGCACCTAGTCCGAAGTCGTCTGCCATAGTAGTTGGCATGATTCCCAGCATCAGACACTGGATTTGGTACATTCTCAAACGTTTCGCCGGCATCGTAGTCGGCATCATCAGTCAATTTTACCATTCTCCGCACCAAACTACGGACTCGTCAAGGAGACCACACCATCTTGGTATATTATTCGTATATTATACGAATCCACGAATTTATATTTTTGCTATCGACACAAGACAGCTAAGATGAAATTGCCCAAGAATAGGTTTTGAGCAGGAAATAATTAAACTTAATTACATTTTGAAGATATGAAGTCTCTTTGACAAGTTCGTAGCTTGGTGCGGAGAATGGCAAAACTGACTGATGATGCCGATTACGATGCCGGCGAAATGTTTGAGAATGTATCAAGTCCACTGCTGGGACTCATGACAACTAACATGGCAGACGACTTCGGAGTAGGTGCGTTCTACATAGTCGCCCTGACTACAAGACCAAGTTGCGACAACGAGGTCAACCCACTTCTGTAAATCAAAAGGAGACTGCGACCACACGAGAGGCCACAACATATTGGTCTTCATATATTCAACTATGCTTTTTGTTTACCACATTTTTCTGGTGTAATTGTCGATGGAGCAAAGTTGTATTTTTCTATTAAAATCGACTACAAGACCTATTTTTCGTTTTATAAGAAGCCTTTAAAGACTTTCGGTAGATCTTAACTAATTTCGTTCAAGGTGATAAAGGATAGACAATTGAGTAGGGTGAATACAGCTCTCATATAGGCTCAAGAATATCCTAAATGTGTGAATATTCATGTTCAAAGATACGCTATGGAAGCTATGTTTAATAATCTTTTAAGGTGTTCATGGAAGGGATTTTTCTTACATTAAGTATGAAAAATAAAGAAAGTGCAATCTCACATTTCCTATACAGACATTTAATAAATTTGTAAAATTTCGGATCAACTTTTCATGTAGTACACATTTATACCAAACTTTTGGATTCGCGGAAAATTCAGGCATTTCAAGGCTTCTTAACAGAAAAAGAGGCTGACAGAACAGACATCGCCAGAATGTGAAGTCATTCGTGCAAAATATTCAAGTAAGCACCGAGCCAAGAAGAATACTCGCTTTGCCTTCAAGGCGTATGGTTGACTTTCAGCTTTTGTCAAAGTTCGACGATGTCGGTCAAATGACTGGCGGAGGCTCAGTCGTTGCCATCCGAAACAAGCAAGAGCCAAACGGCTGCATTCGCCATTTTGGAAGATCATCATGCCAAATAGAAGTCTCCACAACAACGTTTCCACAAGAGATTCACCATCGCTCAGTTACTCTTTCTTCCTTTATGCCAGTAGAAGAAATAGTTTTCGCTTGATTTACAGGCGTCTGAAACATTGTTGCCATAATCATCAACATTAACTTACAGTGAAGGCATTATTTTGCAAGAGTAACTATGACAAATTACATCTTTTGAGCTGGGTTTCGCCCAGTGTGATAGTGTGATCTGAAATTATCCGAGGCCCGAGCTCTCCAGAATACGATGATTGCATCCTCTTTCTGGTTATTATTTGATCTAATTAGGATGCTCAATTTCACATGGCCCTCCCTATTTTCACTTGACAAGCATACCCAGGACTGGAGCTCATTCGCGTCATGGCAATAGGCTCAGATTGGATAAAAAACAAGTACTCGGCCTACAAATATTATATATATTATATATTATATATATATATATATATCGTCGTAAGTGATTAGGATATCGAGACTACCAGTAAATCAGATATATGAGTTGTGTACAGCTTATTCCGTTTAAGGTGATGAAGGATTGTCCCACAATGATATGAGTAGAGCTGACGTCTCCATTGAATTTCACATGGCTTTGCTTTCCCAACAGTTGTTCTAACCCAGGGCCAAAATTGCAGCCCACTTCTGTCTGGATGAGAACAGCTTTTGGGAAAACAAGGCTATGTGGAATTCAATGGAAAACATCATATCTACTCACATCATTGTGGGAAAATTGACCACCAGTAGTTTATCACCCTAAACGAAATAGGATGAATACAGCCCATGCAACTATATACATAATGATTTCGTAAATTTATTTCACACATTTGTGTTTATGTGCATTTATATGCTTGTATGTGTGTTGCTCTTTTCGAGTCACTTGACAGACATCCGCTGGAGTGGGGCACATTTTCACCTCGACCTCAAGTGTGCAATAGATCAAGGAAACGGACCTCTCGAAGAGGTACAAAAAATAACTTTCTCGATGCATACAGTGATTTACTTAATTGGTGTGAGTGTGATGGTCTATTTTGCCACTTGACGAACTTCCTCACATATCCTCATTGTCACCACGTCTTCAACCTTATGATGGGTAAACAAAATCAATTTTCAGGCGCTAAGTTGTATGTACTTGGTGTGTTTTTAATTTTGTCTTTGTGTGTTTTTCTATCATACAGTTTGATGGTTAAACATTTCTTCGCATCTTCACTTGCCCATACTCACAAACACATCTGCTGGTTAAAGGTATCATGTGTCATTGTATGAACCCAACGAAAGGGAGGAAAAATTTTTCCTGAAAGTGACCATTTATCAGTTCGGTCCCCTCCGGCGACTGGTTGCGTCGGTCAGTCTGTCGAGTATAATTTTTCACTTATTTTACGAAATCCTCATTCTCGGTCTCATTTTCCACGAGTTCATACCTCTTTTGCTCTATAGACACACTCGTTCTGAGGCAAGCTGTTGTCTGTCTGTCGTAATACTGTGCGTCTGCCACTTCTGCCTCGGCCTCCTCCTGCAAACAGACACAATGTGCGTGTGTGCCGATACAAGTTTGTACCAGTTTCGCTGTCTGGCAAATGCGACCGGACGTAAATGCGTTCACTTTGTGGACCGTATCAACTTTGCGCCCAACCTGGACGCAAGGGTTTCATTCACCCGTTCCGGTCGTAACTGCCCACTCAACGGGATCTGGACGCAGCGAGTCGATTGTCTGCTGTTGTGTGTCTGGGTGTTGTGTAACATTTTGTCCCATCGCTTGGCTGCTGCTTCGCCCAATAGCCAGCAAGTGCACAAGTCTACCAAATAAATAATACAGTTTATAATTATCAACAAATAATTGATCAATTGTGCTTCTCGACTGTCTGCGGCAAGCGGACACCGATGCGATCCGGCTCAGGCCGGTCGTCCGCATCTATCTCCTCGCGGCTACATGTCGCCGATCCGGGCCTGACCCCGGGTACCACGGGGAGGGGGCCGGGCTGCGCGGTTCGGGGTCAAGAGGGCCCCGTTGACTGGTCACTTGTGATGACCGGAACAGATTAACGCATGCCGGCAGGTGGCTTCCGGGCTATTGCTTTTGTGTCCGTTGTCAACGCTCAAGCGATCCGGCCCACATGACGGGAGAATCGGCAAACTGAATCAACTTTTTGCATCATTCAATATGCTCGTTTGTGGATGGAACCGCGATTCGACCTTCCGTCTCGAGGGTCAACTTGACTGAAGGGATTCGTCGATTATGAATATGAGGTGTATTCATCCTATTTGGTTGAAGGTGAACTGGTAGTTGAATTTTCACACAATCTGATAAGTAGACCGTATGTTTCCATTCAAGTCCACATCCCGGCAGGAGTGTGCTGCAGTTGCAACCCCAGCGGTACTCGAACCATGATGGTGCAGCCTGTAACCTCCACACGTTAACTACTGCGCCGCATCGCCCCCGAGTGCTCTTGCGTCATATGGCGGGTGTGAATCCTCTTATGGTGTGATTGTCCATGAGCCATCGACTGCATTACTGATTGTTCATGTATATGGGATGTATTTCCCATATTTTTTGTTTAAGTTGATATAGCGTTTTGCAAATTCAATCTGCTTTTTTTCGCATTTAAGCATTGTTTCGAGACCACCAGTAAATCAGTAGTATGATGAAG